ACGAGCTGGTGAACATCAACGGCTCGGCGCTGTACGGCAGCCGGCAGGAAGCCCTCATCCTCATCAAGGGGTCGTACCGCCTGCTGAAGCTCGCCGTCAGGAGGTAGGACGCCTTTTGGGAGTTTTGTCTTCCTTCGCGAGGCCGTTGGCCCGGGGGAGGGAGGGGAGGGAGGGGAGGGAGGGGAGAGGGAGGCTCTTCCTGCTCTGTTAGCAATCTGCCAGCCAAATAAAAACAACAAAAAAGTCAAATCACAGGATGTGACCTTTGACCTCCAGGGTGTCGCAGGAGGAAAGCTGATAAAAGTCCGACGTGCAAAGAGAAAGGGAAGCTTCAGTGTCGGGCTTAAAATGTTGTTATGTAGTTGTAGTTATTATAGCTATTGCAGTTTAATCGTACACACGATTTAGAACGTTTTCCTTTGCGTTCGGTAATTCTGCTGTGGGCCGGGACTCCAAAAGACGTGTTTAATTTCTCTCTGCGGTTAGAAGTGCTGCTTTGTCGCCAGGCAGATGTTTGGCACCAGAACCTTTTTATTCTAGCACCTCTGAAACCGGATGCAGCGGTTTCTTCTGCTCCTGTTTGTGCAGCAGTGGGCCGACTAACACACACACACACACACACACACACACACACACATATATATATTTTTTTGGCATGAATTAAAACCCACTTTGACAAGCTACTGACACTAATGGCCGATCCCGGCTTCGGTGTTGGGCTTGGCCGCGTTGCCCTTTGACCCCCGACTCCCGCTGCCACTTTAATTCTTTAATGTAGAAACAAGGAAGCCTGTGGACGGTACTGAATGAGAGACACACACACACACACACACACACACACACACACACACACACACACACACACACACACTGGTTGAACACTTGGCTCTACTTGTATAGTTTAAACAGTGGAAAAGGACCCTTAGTCTTGTTACCACCTCTTTTAATAACACGAGGGGCCTGTTGGTACGGTGATGGCATGTGAATGGATGGACCTCTGACTCAGTAGGTCATTATTATTGGGAGTGTAAAAACCTGGTGTGTGTGTGTGTGTGTGTGCGTGTGTGTTGGAGGCAGAAATCACCTCATTGTATAAAATGTCAGGAGCACGTTTGACAAAGAGAGAATTCAAAATGGACCAAAACCTCTCGACGGATCCTTATGAAACTCAAAATAACAGATTAAAGTAAGTAGAAAAGAGAAGAACTGCATCATTTGACCCCAGTCGACCCCCCAATCCCGTTGCATATTAAGTGTCTTCACAGCGACCTACTGCTCCCGAAGCTTGGAATGGGTTTGACGCAGAGTTCAAAGGTCACTCGCCTGAATGCCCCCCCCCCCCTCCACCTCCATGAGCCCTTTTCTTTTTTAACGAAGAGAGGCGAGAAGGAAAATGTTCCGTCGATATAGTTCCATGACGTAAAGGGGAGGGAGATGAGGGGCGATGGCGTCCGCCTCGTCTTTAGGCTGGAAAAATGGTGCTTTTGTGCAGGTCTTGTGCTCGGGTACGGGGCGTGCATCACACCCATGAAGGGCTGCTTTGTATCCGGCACGTTTCCATCACGTTAATGAGGACTCGTGTAACACCGGAAACATTAAATACCTTTTGATTCCCCGTGTTTTTTACTCCTAGAGGGATGATAAACCTCTTTTGTTCTGTTCTAACAAGCCCACTGAAGATGGAAAAGGACTCTAGTCACTGATGTAACTTCTTCCAATTAGGGCCTACAGGAGATATAAAGGATCATTTAAGAAGTTTCAAGCAAGTGGCATCGCATCAGTTGGATTTGTTTGAGTTCATGACCACAAACTCCTCCCAAAGTAATCAGAACCAAGTTATGTAATACATTGAAATACTAATACTTAGGGCTGCACAATATTTATTTCATCAAACTAAATGTGAATTATTTCCCTAATGAAATCAATTGTGATCCGTTCCATGTTGACGGAGTTTGAGGTGGAGTCTAATAAAAAAGTAACAAATACTCACGTTTCACAGTCTCGATTTGTCATTGTATGCTTTGTTAAAGCTCTATAAATGAATAAAAAAATATTTTGGCAGAAGATGTAAGAAATATGGTTTAAAAAAATATAAGGATACGGTTCAAATATGTTGGGTCAAGAAATATCACGGGAAAAAAAGTAAAAAATTAGGAAATTAGGTCAAATAGTGAAAAATGTAGATCAAAAACATTTTGAATAAATAACTGTTATTCAACTATGTTGAGTTTTAAAATGTCATGGAAAAAAATAGAAAAAAGGTAAAAAAATATTTGGTCAAAAATGTTTTCAAAAAAAGATGCATGGTTGAAAAATGTCAATGAAAAAAAGTCATAAAATATTAGGTCATAAAATGTTTTTAAAAAATACCTCCCACCCCCGTCGGCCGTTAACGCCACCCCTCCCTATGGTTTTAATGGTCTGGCCCGCGTTCCAAAACAAACGGAATGAGTTTGACTCATAAAAAATGGCCGCCGCTCTGACCGTCCTGCACCTCCCATTTTATTTCTACTGGTCATTAGCTTTTCTTTACACCGAATTTTACTGGAGCAACTTTGTTCCCATGAACATTTCGATAGGCGCGTGACCTTTCAACTTCTTTTTCAGTGACTTCTTTTTTACTTTTGAAAATGTTTTTGTTTTTTCGATACATTTGTGGAAGAATGTTTAGGGATGTTTAGTTAGCGCGACCTGGAAATGTTTCCTCTATACTACTTCCTGTTTTCACCGACCTTTTGTTACACACACACTGTACAGTTGGATCTGTGTGTGTGTGTGTGTGTGTGTGTGTGTGTGAGCAGCCATGGAAGAGGCCGGAGGACATTCCTCACCTTTAGCATCATTTCCTGTTCATTTCTACTTCCTGTCCAGCTTGGACTTTTAATGTGTTGGTGAAGTCTGTGTGGGAAGTTGCGTCCTGCGAGTTGTTGTTCGTCTCTTCAGGCGTGGAGGTTTGTGTTGTTGTTGTTGCATGTTGTGTTAATTGCGTATTTAGTCTCCTTTTTGCTAAATAGAACCTATTGACCTATGAAAACGTGCAGCTGTTCACCGTCTACAAACTGTAACAAAAACACAGGAAATCGTTCTCAAGTTAAAAGAAAATCCAAACAGAAATCTGGAGGGGGAGGGGGGGGCTTTAGGGCTTTAGGGCCAAATCATATTTTTGAGGTGTTTTGACAAACATTATTCATGAAACATTAGAGCGGAGAGACGAATTTTAAGGAAGTATTTCCACTTTATGTCGATGTGTTTTCAAAATACTTTTTCCTTTTTTCCCTTTTGCTCATTTTCATTTAACAAGGTTTGATTTCACACACAGAAGACGTTATGTGTTATTTCAAATCAGAGTTTTCAGTTGGAAATAAATACGCTGACAGAATGACTTTTCTCGCTCGGCTGTTGCTTGTAATGTATTGAGATTTTTATCATACCTTTTAAAACAAATATTTCACTAATAAACTTTAAAAGTAAAGAGAAGAAAACCCACCTGTGGATGTGCGTCCTGGAAGAGCCGCTGTTCTCCACTTGCTTCAGACACAAGGACACACACACACACACACACACACACACATTCATAGGGTTGTTTGGGAGTTTTACCGCAGACAGATTGATGTGCAAAATGTACACACACACACACACACACACACACACGCATCCCGTTGTTTAGATTTGAATCCACCACATTGAGAGAGACCGAGTCTGCGTACCAAGAACCATGAAACACAATCGTCTGCCCCCCCGTCCCCCCCATCACCGCTTCCCAAATGGAACAATACGCATTCCTTGCATTCTTCAAGACTTCTCACACACACACACACACACACACACACACACACACACACACACACACAGGTACACTACCCTGGGTCCCATTAGCCCATTAGTTATCTATTATGGAACAGAAGAATGTTTTAGTGAGGAAGAAGACAACGAGGGGGGGTGGACAGTGTGTGTGTGTGTGTGTGTGTGTGTGTGTGTGTGTGTGTGTGTGTGTGCGAGATGTTGTCTGTCCTCTACGCGTGTGGTCTCCTACGGTTTATCTGTCTCCCCTTCGGCCCGGTTTTTATTAACTGGCCATTAAACTGAGACTTTGTGATACACGACACTGGCCCACACACACACACAACAGGCACATGCACGCGCACACACACCCCTACGGCTGGCGCATGCTTCTAGTCTAGAAAAATGGGTCGACGCACACAAGCGCGCAAGGAGGGGTGAAAAGACACTTGCGTGTCCTTGTGTGTCTCTCTGAAAACGCGGAAGCATAAACTAGGCTTTAGAGGCCGAGTTGGACACACACACACACACACACACGTTAAGAATATGCTTGTGCGTTATGGAAGAGGAACCATGTGATGAAGTGTCATGACTCAGACGTTATTGATTATTAGGTGTCAGTTTATTTTATTCCAACGACACTTCAACTGCTTCAGATATTAAACACTGAGAGTGTCTCAACTTTAGGAAGCATCCATTCACGCCTCGTCTTCACTTGCACAACAGCATCTACTTTACATCTAGGACGATGTTCTACACAGCTGGATGAAGTCAATGTATGTGGACACGCACACACACACACACACACACACACACACACAAACAGCGCATTGTGCTGCAGATGCTGGAGCAGACTTCACCCTTCCTGCCATCGACCTCTGGTATGAGGCTGGTCCCACTGTACTGATTACCTGCTGTGTGTGTGTGTGTGTGTGCGTGTGTGTGTCTGCGTGTGTGTGTATGTGTGCTTCTAAGCAGTAAATGCACGTCTGCAAGTTGTGTCAACGATAAATATTATAATCTAGGGTGATTAAGACCCATAAAGCATGCATGCACACACACACACACACACACACACACACACACACACACAAAAAGCAAACAAACAGTTCCTGATTGCGGGCGAGCACAGCGGGGCCGATGGGAGGAGGTGAGATTGTTTCGGATTTGGAGCATAATTAACCCTTCGCCCTTTTGGAGGGGAAGACTGGGAATGTGAGGAATCTGCTCACATGCATACGTAACACACACACACACACACACACACACACACACACACACACACACACAGTCTCCAGGAAACCCTTTGAAGTGTTAAACTTGAGCAGAGTTCACGCGCTTGCTGTGCAAGACTCTGGTCAGGTTGGGGCCACTGGGACTTTCCTTACTGCACACACATGATATACATATACATGTATATCATACATGTATATGTATATCATATGTATATGATATACATATACATGTATATCATACATGTATATGTATACAGTAAAGAAAGTTCCAGTCGACTCGGCCTTCTGCGTCCAGAATCCCAGGTCAGATTCGCAGGAATCTCTCATTTTTAATTGCTAATAAAACCCAATAAGTCAGTCAGTCGGGGGGGGGGGGGGGGGGGGGGGGGGGGGGGGGTGTGTGATGTTACACTGATGACATTCCCGCCTGCTCAAAGGACCCCCCCCCTCCGGTTGACCCCTCCCTGTGTGCTTATAGTCCTTCCTCAGCCTCTCCTCTTCTCCATCATCCCTCACATTCCTCGTCTGTCACCACATCTTTTTTTTGTTTTTTCTCGTCTCTCGGCCAAACCGGGAAAAAGAAAAAAGCCCCTCCTCCCTCCTCCCCCCCCCCCCCCCTCCTCCTCCTCTTCCTCTTCCCCCCCCCCCCCCCCCCCTCCCCCTCCTCCTCCCTCCTCGTCCCGTCCAACTCTCTGCTTTCTTTCTGGCTTTCGATCCTTTATTTCACGCTCTGCAAACACACACACAAGGAGGAAGTACCTCTGCATTACACTCCCCCCCCCCCCCCCTCCACATGCCTCACCCCCCCACATCAAACAATAACAGTGTGGAACTCTGGGTATTATTTTAGCAGCCGTCCACCACTTTATCTGCTCCCTGCAATGCTTCCTCTCTCCCTGAGTCACACATCCTGCCTGAGGGGGGGCGAGAGAGGCAGGGAGAGACGGGAGAGAGAGAGAGAGCCGGGGGGGGGGGGTATAGCCGTGTTTTGTCTTCCAGCGAGGGAGGAGGGAGAAAGGAGAAGGAGGGAGAAAGGAGAAGGAGGGAGCGGGGACGCCAGCATCGCCTGCCGCACTCCGTCGGACTCCTTCTGCCACCAAGGACCTGATCTCCTCACCAGAAACCCACGAAGAAGAAGGCCGAGAGCCGCGGCGCGGCTCGCTCACCGAACCTGAACCCGGGGGCGTGTGGGGGGGAGTCGGGGGAGTCGGGGGTGGGGGGGGGGAGGTCGAGATGCTCCGGACCTGACCCGGGATCAGTTTGACAGCGCGCGCTCCACAGTCCGGTAGGTTGGAGGGTTAAAGATCTCATCTTGTCAATGGGCTCTTTCCATTGATCGATCGGTGGTTCCGGGTCAACAGTCGCCCTCTATTATCCTCCCTGGGGGGTCCAGAGTGGGGGGGGGGGGGGACATGATGTGTCTGTACTCTTTTATGATCTTTGAGTATGTCTCCTCTGCTCAGTTTGTGTCCTCATCAGAGAGTCCATGTCTTTTTGTCTGCTGATGGTCGTGTGTGTGTGTGTGTGTGTGTGTGTGTTGTGCATTTTGTGCGTCTGACCTTTGCGGTTTCAGTCAGCTGTTCCAGTTTCTGACCATTACGCGGGACGTTCCAGCAGATCTTCATCTCGTGTTTCATGTCGTCCCGTCACTGGAAATCAGCGGCTTGTCTTTGTGTTGACTTGGTCAATTCCTCACTTTAAAACGCACACAGCGGAGACACAACGTGCTCATGGCGCTGTTTGTGTGCGCGTGCAGCTATTCGGAAGCATCGACATCTCCATCCAACTCTGTCCCTCGGTTTGTTTTCATCTTCACGACCATCAATCTCTGGAAGCTGAACTCTTCGGGGGTCGATGGTGTTATTTTGTGTGGTGCAGGCCGGGCAGTTCTCACACACACACACACACAGCGGCTATGACGCACAAAAAGAAACACTATATAAACTTTCTCAGGGGATCGTTGAAGGAGCCCAACGCTCGGATGGAAATCCGTCTGAAGGAAAGTGCTGTTTGTTTTGGACGCGTTTATCATAAACAATAATACTCACAAATGGTGCTTTTCCTTTTCCCCTCGCCGGGGTCCGCATTCCAACCCCCCCCCCCCCCAACAGACACGCAACCTCAGTTGAAGTAAGACTCGTGTTGATCAATCTATTCGAGCCCCAGATCTTCATGCAATCTGTGGGAACAGATGTTCCGTTACGTCTCAGACCGCGTGTGTGTGTGTTTGTGTGTGTGTGTGTGTTGTCTGCGGGGGGGCCGGAGTGAATCTGGCCGACACATGGGGAAGTCTGTACGGGGGAATTAGTGAATATCGCGCTGGAATGTCTGGCGGTCGGTCTGGGGGACTCGCCGTACGCGCTGGATGAGCTTTTAATAGCGGCCCAGCAGGAGGCCACGCGGGGGGGGGGAGAGAGGGGAGGGGGGGGGGGAGAGGGGGGTGGGGGGGTGTGACTGCTACTGTGATGGCAACTGAGCATAATGAATCATCGTGTTTTAGACTAAGACAAACAAATGTTTCGTTGAGCAGGAGGAGGATGCGAAACGGAAGCGGTGACGTGGTGCACGGAGAGGCGATGACATCATTATCTAACGCGCTTACTGGATGTAATTAGACCGCAGGGGTCCGTGCAGGAAATCACAGCAGCAGCTGTTTATTTGGGGGCAAAACTAAGTTATAATATATTTAGCTTTTAAATGGGCGCTTTCATCTGGGGCGTTTATCTCAACACAGCACGCTGCTCATTGAGTGATGGCGCTTTAGGGCGGGGCTTCCTGTGATTGACGTGTGTCCCCCCCCCCCCCTCCCCTCACAGGCGCAGCGTTCCCGTCCTCAGGCCTCACTCCTGGCACCTGGCGAAGCTGTCGGAGCCGCCGCTCCCCCTCCCTCCTCCTCCTCCTCCTCCTCCTCCTCAGTCCCCTCCTCCCTGCCTCCCCGCCGCCGCCGACTCCCCTCCCCTCCCCCCTCCTCCCCCCCCTCTGACTGCCATGCAGCTCCACCCCGGCTCGTACCCACTACCCTGGCACGCAGCAGACAACAGGTGAGCAGCGGATATTCTGATCACTTGAAGGCCACATCTTTAAATGTTTAAGCATGTATACTTGAAGCTCATTGGGCGCTCGAGGGTCCTTATTCCCGCTGTCAGAGGTTCACAGTGGGGGGGTCTATTTCTGGCCAATCAGACCAGGTGGGTGTTTTTTATTTAGGGAGATTAGTGGCGAGTTCTGTCTGTAACGTACGTTGGTCAAAATACCACAAGGATCATTTCAAACAGCCCCTTTCCCCCCCGTCTGAAACAACAGCCCCCCCACAGAGCGACCTCTTTTGAGTGCCTGTTCCTTTCAATGCTAATGCTAATGCTAATGTTCCCATTACATTGTGACGAGAGAATGATGAAGAAGCTCATTCTCAGTCACTCGAGCGTGACGTTTCTGGTACGCGGACCAGAACAAAGTAAGAAGCACAAACAAAAGTGGAATTTTCCTAATATTTCCCCTTTTTTTTAAAATGTACATTTTGTTACGACGGCTTTGGTCTTGAGATGTGTTCAACAGGGGGTCCGCGGAGGTGCTGCAGGGGGGGTCGCAAATCTTTTTGCCACAAATTTAAATGTCTTCAGAATTGTATTTATTTAAATACACATTAACATGAATCCAACATATTGTAGCAAGCGGATACATTTCAGTCCCACAGCAGCTCTCGACAGCTGATACGACAGCACAGCCACCAGCCAATCGGATCCGTTCATGCTCACGTCTAAAGAGGGCGGAGCTCCGAGGTAAAAGATTGGCGGACCAAACGTGACGGGGGGGGGGGGTCCTCTGCTCCATCTGGCGTTACAGCATGGCGTCCCGACGGGCTGGAGGACCAAACGAGGGCGCAGCAGCGTTTCTTCACAAAGTGCTTTAGACAAACGAAACCCAAAAGAAAGCAGATTATCATTTAAATACAATAAGTAAAATATCCAAACCGCTTCCGCTGCATAACGTATAACCGCGGATATTTTCACACCACAAAGAAGCGATTGTTGCGTCGGTTACATGGAAGCTGCGGCGCTCTTTGTGTTCCAGCCTGACCTCACGGAGCCAAACTGTAATCCCTTAAAAGAGGGAAGAGGAAGTCGGTGTGTGTGTGTGTGTGTGTGTGTGTGTGTGTGTGTGTGTGTGTGTGCGTGCGCGTGGACCCGCAATAAAAACACTCGTTGTCAGTTTGATGGCGCAGTACGTCAGCGCCCTGCGCCCCCGATAAGACGCAGTGACAGAATGTGCCTCTATTAGACGCAACAGTCCCATGTGGGTTAGATAGCAGCGTGTGTGTCTGTGTGTGTCTGTGTGTGTGCGTGTGTGTGTGAGTTCCCATAGTTTGTCCTGCACAACAACACACGCACACACCATCTGATGAGGAGGCAGCTCCCGGCATAACTCAGGACAATGGCATGTGACTCCCAGAACATGTGGACAAAGAGAGGAAGACGCTCAGTGAGCTGTGTTTGTGTGAAGGACATTTTGTCCTGTGTGTGTGTGTGTGTGTGTGTGTGTGCGTTTCCAAAGACACACTCCAGGTTTTGAGCTCTTCTGAGCTGATAAAACGCATCTTGTGCCTCGTCGTGTATTTCGTGTGCCGTTCTTTTCTCGCTCGCGTGTTTCCACCAGGCCGTCTGATTGGACGGGAGCGGACAGTCATTTCCCGCCCGGCTCCCGTCTCATTTCCTCGCTTCCTCTCGCCGTCAGCCGGGTCAAATCCATACAGCCGCCTCTCCTTTGTCATCCGTCGCTCACTTCCTCCCGGGAGCGTTTTCTCACGCAGATAATGGAACCAAGTTGTGTGGCTGCACGGCTTCAGTGCGTCTGAAGGTGTTCCTCAAACCGCCTCCTGGGCAGCCGTTGTTTTCCATTCATTTCTGCACCAATAGAACATGAAGAAAGCGGCTTGTTTAACTCGCTGCTGTACTTTATTTCACGCGTTCCCATTGCAGGACGGTTCACACGCGCTCTGTGCGCAGAAGCTTTATGACGGCACAATGTCAAATAATGGGATCTTGATGTTTGTGTACATTTTGGCACCGGGCCTCGGACTGGCTTTGGCTTCACGGGTGCAATTCCCCTAACAAATTAGCATCATATTATTACCGCTAAATAGTGTCGAGCTTTTTATGGAGCTCTGACAATCGCAATGAGCCCCACCTCAGAGCTGTTCCTGCTTTATGGTCTGTTTGACCCGAAATGGACCCTAATCTACTAAAGAGACATCATGCTGCGTTGAGGACAACTTCAAACTAGAGGCTGAGACCATAAACCGTCAAGTGTTTACTGAGGGAATGAATCAAGAGAGAAGTAGAGTCGTCCTCTCATAGACGTCTATGGGAGCAGAGGAGTCGCCCCCTGCTGGTCAGCAGAGAGGATGCAGCTTTAATCATATATTGATATAGATCGTTCATTGAGCCGTAACATGCAGGCGCACTCGCCTGCTCTCGGGTCAATGTCATGGATTTTGTTCACCTCGAGTCCCAATGTGAGTGCGTCTAAGAACCTTCTCAGACACTGCAGGGCAGAGATTTCACTACGCGAGCAGATCGTTGATTTGATTGAGGTGGAACAGGCTCCCAACAGCGTTGTGCTGATGGGCGAGGCGAGTCGTGGCTCATTGGACTCCGGGTTGCAGAGCACTGTGGACGCTGTTTGTGATCCTGGGCTCCGCAAACCAAACGCCGGTTGGTTCTGACTAAAGCGCCGATGCAGAGCTTAACGGAACCTTCTGTATCCCACCAATTCTTATCTTTATTCAAAGAGGTTTTCAAAAATGCGGTTTCAGATTGAATCTGCGTTTATTGTGTTGAAGGAAGAGACGAATCGCAGGGACGACGTGGACAGATTGTCTCCGGGCAGTTTGAATCTGATGGGGAGGAAATCCCTTCAGAGACTCAAGCCACTGATCTTCGTGGCTGATCGAGAGCAGAGAAGCCGCGCAGCTCCAAGGTCGCTTGCTTCTCTCGTCTGAAGGTCTGACCTGCTTTGTCCTCCTTGTCTTCGCAGTGACTTGTCCTTGCCGTGGGGTCAGCTGTCGCGACCGTACTCCTCCACCGACCGAAGCAGCTCCCTGGGCTCCATGGAGAGCCTGGACGCGCCGCCGCCCGCCGCGCGGAGCTCCCCCGGCGACCCCGCCCTCTTCCACAACAAGCGGGACTCGGCCTACAGCTCCTTCTCCGCCAGCTCCAACGCCTCCGACTACGCCGCCGCGCCGCTGCGGCCCGGCGACGCCTGCTCCATGGACAACCTCGCCGCCGCCGACGCCTCGACTCCGGCCGCCGAGGCCCCGGACCAGGCGCAGCTTGTCTCGCCCAAGTCCAGGTCCCTGACCAGGCCCAGAGCGAGGACCGCCCAGGTGAAGGAGAGGCCTTCGTCCTGCTGCTACGAGGGAGGGGACTTCCAGACGGGGGAGGAAGATGAACCCTCCTCTGCCTCCGACCAGGACGGACAGCTTCAGGGGCGACCGGGCTTCGGGCCACACGGCGCCAGCAAGCGATGCGTCTCGGCTTCCGGGTTGAAATCGCCGGCGTTTCTTCTTACTTTGAGGAAAACAAGTCGTCCCCGGATGCTGAATCAGGGATGCTGAATGGCTTTTCCGCACCAGAGGACGGCGTCAAAGGCGGGACTCTGAAAGACTCGCAGCGCGTCCGAAGACGCGCCGGCTGCGACGCTCGCGCTGATAAAGACTTCGTCTCAGCGGCGGCCTCGGGTCACGTCCCCGCCGCGCCCCCTCGGCCGAGTTCCTCGCCGACAGAATCCTCCGTCGGGCCTGGAGAGGAGTCTCGCGTGGCGCACGGCCCCCCCGAACAGCCCGCGGCCGATCAATTCTCGGCGTTGCGAGGTAGAAGCGACGTCTCTCCCTCCGATGTCTCCACGTGGTCCCCTCCGTCTCCTCGCGGAGACCGGGATGCTTCTCACGACCCCGTCCACGCGCCCTCAAGGCAGTGGGGGGGGGGCGGCCGCTGCGCGACCCCGGGATCTGGGGATCAGGGGACGGGTGTGGGCGGCGGGCACCACCACCCCGGGGCCGCTCCGTGAGCGTCCCCGGGGACGCCGCTGCACCCTCCGCCCAGGGGACGGCGAGCTCCGAGCAGATTCTGCAGAGGGACTTTCAGCCTCTGCGCGCCGCCGCCAGCGTGGACACGTTACTGGGGGAGCACGCGGAGTCGGATAAAGGCGGTAAAAGGGAGGAGGCGGCGGCCGGCGAGGCGGACATGAGGAAGTCGGCCGCGTCCAAGAACCAGCGGCGAAACCGCCGTCGCGGCGAGCGGTTCGCCACCAACCTCCGCAACGAGATCCAGAGGAAGAAGGCCCAGCTTCAGAGGAGCCGGGGGCCGGGGGGGCTGCTCTGCAGCGGGGAAACCGTCCAGGAGGAGGAGGGTCCGGACCTCAGCGAGGAGGGGGCGGAGCTTAAACTGCCTCCCCGGCAGAGGAGCGCCCCGATTGCATTCGCCTCACCTGCCGGCCCCCCCGACCGAGCACAGGACCCCGAGACGGCGAGGACCTGGAGGGACTCCAACGAGGACGTCTCGCGGACCTGGGCGCCGACCCGCGCTCCAAACCCCGCCCCCTGCAGGTCCGTCCAGATCCTGGACCCGGGGCTGCCGACTCGGCGCGGCGTCGCGTCGTGAGGACGTAGCAGCGCCGCGGAAAGCCGCCGCTGGCGCTGGACCCGATGCACAAACTCCAACCGGAACCGGAGCGGCGGTGCGGAGCTCGGCCGGGGGGGCGGCGGCGGCGGCGTCGGGAGTCCCGGGGTCGCGGCGCGGCGCTTCCGCCCCCTCGTGCGGCCGCTCCTTCGCTCCTCGGCGGAGGAGTCCGACATCCTCCCCTTCGCGGACAGGATGAAGTCTTCGAGGAGACGAGCAAAGCGCGTCGAACCCGTCGGGTCGCAGGCAGAGGAAGCCCTTCCATCACCCGGAGGCGCGGGGGGGCGAGGTCACCCAGAGGAGGTACTCCTACCAGGGGGGCTGCAGCAGGACAGCGAGCCAACACCGTGGAGCCAGGAGGATGTCATTGAAGCACCCGGCGTGAAGAGGCCGAGGGAGGACGCGAGGGGAGTCAGAGACGGCGCGGGGGAGGGAGCGGGAAGAGAGGCTGAGGCAGTGGGAGAGGGAAGGAGAGAGGGAGCGTCTCAAAAGAGGGGAGGGAGGGGAGGGAGGGGAGGACGCCGCTGGTTTTTCCGAAAGAACCGAAGACTCCCGACAAGCCGCGCGGCCTCCCCCGGCGTCCCCACCCGGCCTCCCCCGGGATGAGGCCCCGAGGTCGGCCTTTCATCCCGTCAACGCGCCGGCCCGCCTCCGCGAGGACCAGCAGCCCCTCCACCCGGGTCACAGGGCGAGGAGCTACACCCAGACGGAGGTGAGGGCGCCGTTCCTCTCGTTAGCCATCGATTAACGATCAATCAATCGATCGAGTTCTGACTCTTTGTCAAACGGATCAAAAAACGGGGAGAGAAGAAGAGAGTAAACACATCAAATGGAGCTGATGAATAAGTCGACAAATCAGTAAATCGATAATAGTGAAACAATTAGTGTGAAACGTAATATGAATAAATGCTCAGACAATAACAGATCGTAGGAATTTTACACTATTCATAAAGAAATAAAATAATGAGCAATAATAATCATAACAGTTGGGTTTTTAAGTCCGATCCCGGGGGGTCAACTTGTGACCACAATGTGAGTGTCTGAAGCGTTGACCTTTGACCTGTTGGCGACCTCCTCATTTGACGCATTTGTCTGAACGACTATTTAGATTTTTGGTGTTTTTATTGTGTATAAATGTGAGTATAAGACAAGAACTTGACCACATGAAGCACCGAGCAACCAGAAGTAAATCATTTCATCAAAGAGAGAAAGTTTCATCAGCGCGTTTTTCTATTTGAATTCTTCCTGTTTGTTCACTCAAATTACACATAAAGTCAAACTGAGTTCACTTACATTTAAACAGAATAAAACATCTAAGAATGCAAGTTCAGTGTTCTATTGTGTTTTATTCTTCATAAAATGTTCTTATTGTTCACTATGACTTATGTGTTTATTGTCCTGAACCACCTCACTGGAACAAAACACCCTGAATGCACAGAAACAGAAAACTGATTTATTCCATCCCTCATTCCATTTTTACCCTATTTTAACCGGCCTTTTAACGTCTTCCACAGATGCATCCCGCCCGGCAACAGGAAACGGCCAAGCTCAACAGGAAGTGCAGCCTGACGGAGAGGTGAGCCACTTCAGTGCAAACGCACCGTCGGAAAGACCGGGACAAGTTCCCTCTCTTCTTCTTCTTCATCGACCTTCCGCTTTACTCTCTGACACATTTCTCTGATTGTCCACTAAGTGAGTCTCCGGGGGCTTTAGGTGGGGTCGGCCCATTGTGCACCGCGGGGGGGGGGGGGGGGATCCCCCTCAGTCACACTCGGCTGTGTTTTGACTATAATGATCTCAGAGCAATCATCCGATTGAGCCCCGGCGGAGGAAGAGGGTGCGTGTTGGGTGGTGGCTGTTAGCGTGTAGAGGAGGGGGGAGTTTCCACAAGGTTTTAAAAAAGAATATAGTCAATTTTATCGCTATATTACAGTTGTATCACAATGTGATCAAATCTCACTAACTTCAATCGTCCTTGATCATCGAAGGGGGCTCGACAGAAAAGGTTTGGGAACCATTAAACATTTTTAAACTTCATTTTTAGTAATGAGATTAACGCTCGAAACCCCAAAAAGGAGAATAAATTGTCCCTTTATCTCGTTTGCTCGTCGCAGGGACTCCAGCTGGAGGCGGGAGTCCAGACCCCCAGAGCACCACCATCATCAGCACCACCACCAGGGTCCCCGGGGCCGCAGACAGGCCGATGACGATCGCAGCGCGCACTCGTCTGCTCCGCCTCCGGCGCCTCTCTCGCTGCGAGGGCGGGCCATGTCCGAAAACGACCTCCGTTTTGCCAGCGGCGGCGGCGGCGGCCACCGCTGGCCGTCCGTGCCCGTGGCGACCAGCCAGACCCTGAGCGAGGTGGAGGAAGGAGTGGGCGGAGTCGGGGGAGTAGAAGCCGCCCGCGCGAACAGAAAGAAGACGCCGCCTCCGCCGAGACCGCCGCCGCCGAAGTGGGAGCAGTTCCACCGGCGGCGTGCGTCTCACCACGCCTTGTTCGCCTCCTCTCCTCCGCCCGGCTCCACCCCTCCCTCCATGGACGCCGCAGAGTCACGCCCCCGCTCCTCCTCGTGCGTCCCTCCACCCGAGACTTCCCGACTGAGGTCCTACAGCCTTCCGCCGGAGAGATGGGAAGTGGCCGAGGGATGCCCGCGATGCAGCTGCAGCCGAACCAGGGAACTGCCCCACGCCTCGTCCAATCAGAATCCACCACTGATGCAGGAACAACACTTCAGCCACGCCTCGTCCAATCAGAATCCACCACTGATGCAGGAACAACACTTCAGCCACGCCTCGTCCAATCAGGATCCACCACTGATGCAGGAACAACACTTCAGCCACGCCTCGTCCAATCAGAATCCACCACTGATGCAGGAACAACACTTCAGCCACGCCTCGTCCAATCAGGATCCACCACTGATGCAGGAACAACACTTCAGCCACGCCTCGTCCAATCAGGATCCACCACTGATGCAGGAACAACACTACAGCCACGTCTCGTCCAATCAGAATCCACCACTGATGCAGGAACAACACTACAGCCACGCCTCGTCCAATCAGATGCAAGCACGGATGCAGGAACAACGGTTTAGCGATGTCTCGTCCAATCGGACGCAAGCACAGATGCCGGAACAACACTTTAGCCACGCCTCGTCCAATCAGAATCCACCACTGATGCAGGAACAACACTACAGCCACGCCTCGTCCAATCAGGATCCACCACTGATGCAGGAACAACACTACAGCCGCGCCTCATCTAATCAGAATCCACCACTGATGCAGTAACAACACTACAGCTACGCCTCATCCAATCAGAATCAAGCCTCAACCCCTGGAGGTGGCGTTTCACCGTTGCTCCGCCCAGTCCCATGTTCTCCAGGAGGAGCTTCAGGCCCGTAGCTCCGCCCCCAAAAGAGAGGGACCAGAAGGGCATGTATGGCGAACAGCAGGAGAGGGTGGAGGTCCGGCTTCCTCCGCCTCCCGCTCCACCAGCAGAGATCAGCGTGAGCAGGTGAGCTGGGAGATTGATACATAATTACTCCACCTGCCACACTTGACTTCTTCTTCAGTGGTTCTCGTGTGTTAATCACGCTTTATGTTTTTTTGCCAAGATGGAGACCTGACAGTAAAAAAATCACACTCAAGTTTGTTTCTCTGCAGCTCATCCGAGGGGAGGGTCCAGGACAGGGTGACGGCGAAACCGGAGGTGAGACCAGGAGCCGAGTGGGACAGAGCCGCGTCCCCCAGAGTTCATAGCGACCCAAGCGGAGGCGTCTTACTCCAGTCTTACCTCTCCATGGACCACGAGCAGCGGCAGCTCCGTGCTACAGGGGGCTTCCAGAGCATCGGCGAGCCCCAGAAGACCCCCGAACCGGGGACGGAGTCGGAGACGACCCTTAGTCCGAGCCCCGCCCACAGCCTGGACGCGGACCTGGACGTCCCCATGGAGACGGACATCGACGACTTCCAGGAGCACGAGGACGGACCGCCGGCGAAGGACGGGCCGATCACCAGCGAGCTGCCTTGCTTCGCGCTGCCGGTGACGGTGCTGGAGACGGACATCGACACAGAGGCCTCGCCGCCGGGCTCGCTGGAGGGGGAGGGGCTGGAGGAGGAGCTGGAGGAGGAGGAGGAGCTCCGGGCCGGAGAAGCAGAGAGGCTGAGCCTGGAGGAGCTCTTCCCCCAGAGCTGTGAGGGGGAGCCGGGGAGGGAGAGCTGGAGGGGGGCCTACCGAACCACGGAGCACAACGCCGACAGCTTGGACAGGTAACGAGGGAGGGGCTCGGGTGAGGGAGGGGCTCGGGTGAGGGACGTACCTCTGATAATCACACGGACCATCTCTTGTTGCTAAGTTACCCCCCGCCTCCAGAGAATGTTTTGCTCATACTCGTTGGCAATTTCATTCATTGTTCTTATTTACGTACCTCTCTAACCCCCCCCTCCGGACCACCCCCCTCCCTAGGCGGTCCGGTGCAAGCTCCAGCTGTTCGTCCTACTACAGCACGTCGGCCGCCAAAGCTCAGCTGCTCTCTCAGATGAAGGACTTCACCGACAACAACAGGGAGGAGGACGACGAGCTGACCTACAAGGTGACTGCAGCCACTGAACCGCCAGCTTTGGACCACCTGGGGGGGGGGGAAGCTCTGTTCTTTAAACAATTCCTCCGTCTGTGGTGCAGAAGCAGCTGATGGAGAGCCTCCGCAAGAAGCTGGGAGTTCTGAGAGAGGCTCAGAGGGGACTGCAGGAGGACATCAGAGCCAACGCACAGCTGGGGGAGGAGGTGAGGAGACAGGAACCAGGATCAGTGGAGTCCTGAACCTCTCCCCGAACCAGTCTCACCGTAGTCCCAATACCCCCCTCCCATCCAGGTGGAGAGCATGGTGGTGGCCGTGTGCAAACCCAACGAGGTGGACAAGTTCCGCATGTTCATCGGCGACCTGGACAAAGTGGTGAGCTTGTTGCTGTCGCTGTCCAGCAGGCTGCTGAGGGTGGAGGCCGCCCTGGAGACGCTGCACCCCGACGCGGAGCTTCACGACAGGGTGAGCGCCGAAGGAAATCGTTTAAAAACACCTGGCGCAGCATGAAGGGTGAGAGGGTCACCCACATGTAACGCGTCTGTCCCTCCTCTAGCTCCCCCTGCAGGAGAAGAAGCATCAGCTCATGAGGCAGCTGTCCGAGGCCCAGGACCTGAAGGACCACGTGGACCGCCGAGAGCAGGCCGTCAGCCGGGTGCTGGCCCGCTGCCTCTCCCCCGAGCTCCACCGGGACTACAGGTACCACCGCGATGTAGAAGAGCTACCACTTGTGGGGGCCAGAAGATCTGGGCGAGCTCAAAAAGAACCCCAAACACAATTCAATTTACAAAATAAGAGTAAAAATGAACTTTAAAAAGCACAACGTTGTCCCAGTTTAAGAGCCGTGTGACCTGCACTCGTCTGCTTTGTGTACATTTCATTAAATTTTGACGTTTTTTTTTCCCCTCTCGCAGCCACTTTGTGAAGATGAAGGCCGCCCTGCTGGTGGAGCAGAGGCAGCTGGAGGACAAGACCCGGCTGGGGGAGGAGCAGCTGAGGGGGCTGAGGGAGAGCCTGGGCCTGGGGCTCGGGATCGGCATGGGAATGTCGATGGGATACGGACATTACTGAGGAAAAATATACATGAACCCCCCCTCAACCCCCCCCGGAGGAGATGAAGACGCAAGAGGATGAAGAAAGAGAAAGCAAACGCGCACGATTCTTAAAGGAACAGTTTGATATTTTGAAGCTCCACCGCCGACCTCAGAATCCAAGATGGCTGCCCAGCGCGTCAGCAGTAAAAAAGCTGTAATGATGCTCTGTTTGTTTACACCAGTCAGACCTACAGTGGCTAACAGTGCCTAGCAGTAGCTGTCAGTGGCTAACATTGTATTTTCAGCTCACATCTCCTCACGGAACGCGGCCTTCGGGCTAAGCTAAGCTAACCGTGTCTCCCAGCCTCGCCAAAATGTCAAACTGTTCTTTTACGGGTTAACAGAGATCCAGAAGTTTGTTTTGACAGAACATAAAAGACAAAAGAAGAAGACGACGACGACAGAACTCTTAAAACACTAAAAATACACTAAAAACGAGCCGACAACTTGTGAATATTAATAAACGCTCCTTACACGCATACGCAATGTGTGTCAATGGCACTATCCTTCCTCCAACGCTACGTTGCCAAAGACCTTTTCTCTCTCCAACGTGTCGCCGAGACGCTGCTTTATTTTGCTGTTTATTTTTTTGTTTAGTATTTAAATCTCCGGGTTCAGAGAATCGAAGGAGACTTTTTTCTTCCGGTGCGCCGCGCTGAAGAAAGACATTAGCGACACTTTCGTCAATTTATGAAGATGCAGTATAAGTAACTGGTATTATTTTTTGTATTGCCACCTGCTTACAGCAACATCTATAGTGTATTATCTCCTGTAATACTATGATACTTTGTACTCCCCATGGGGGGTTTGAGACCCCACCGACTCCCCTGTTTTGTACAGAAGACACTGGTGTTTATAATGTAGACAGTGTGTATATACTGCTGTTGTTCCTTTGAATGACTGGAATAGTTTGTAAAAATTAGTTGGAAAAGACGAACCAGAAGGCGGAGATGAGTCGGCGTTTACTGTATATTTTGTGGGGTTTTGTCATCTTTTTAAAGGTTTATCCTCCCCGACTCTTCACCTCGTCCCACCTCACGTTTAAAGTGGGTTTTCTAGCTGAGATTAAGAAGCCGACAGTCCGCTAGCGTAGTTTAGCATGAAGACTGGAATTCTGTCCACAGAAACATCGCTGTGTTTCCCGGTCTTCGCGCTAAGCTAACGTAGCTTCATGTTCAGCGTAGATTTGAGAGTGTATCCATCTTCTGAGCAATAAGTCATTCTCTATTGCTTTAAGATTTGATTCCATTATGTTTATTTCGTTTGTTAAAAGTTCCACAAATCTGTTTTTCCACATCTGTGCCTTCCTTTACGAGCTTTGACCTGTAAGCTAAGACGCTCCGGCTGCCTTTGGAAATCAACAAGAAATAGGGGAATGGGGGTATATTTGGGCAGATGAAGTTAAGTGGAAAAAACACATTAGTTTCAACAAATCTGCATCTTAAAGTTTATTGAAAGTTGTAGTTTGTTCTCCGATATATTCCTGCTGTTTTAACGCAGAACAAACCCAGAATATACTCTTTGCATTCCACGTGTATTCTTCTGAACCGACCGGAAACATATCGACTCGACGAGAGAGGAAAGAACGTTGCTTGTTGAGATTATTATCTTCTGTTTTTTTGTGTGTTTGTAAAATGCATTACGACTTGTCTAACTGCAGAAACACTCACGTGAGAAAAGAAAAGTACCATAAATAATAATAATAGTGTTTTAAACTAGCTTCACGTCTCCTGTTGTGATTGACATCTACTGTGGGTGAAGACGTATCAAGCGCATAGACATTTCATTATTTTTTTAAGCGTCTCACAGCGAGAAAAATGTTTTTCCTTCCACTTTTAAATTTTAATTGTAGGAAGAAAGACATGCAGCTGCAAATATTTACTACATTACAAGAAACTGACGTTTCCCCAGTGTTTTTGTGTGTTTTATGTGTTTCTTCCCACCATGGAATGATGTGAAATCGTCCCCCGGGGACCGATTGGCGGCGTCTTCTTGTTGTGTTGGAGGAGAACAAATGTGATTCTGTCCACTGGGTGGTTCTTTTAATGGAGATGAGAGCTGGAGCCACTAATATATAACAGAAAACTTATTTAGGTGTTTGTTGAGAAATATCACAGAAAAACAGCTGTTTTAGAAGCAAAGCATCTGGGGAGGAGTGATGGGGAAATAAAGAGAGAGACATGAAAGACACACGGACAATTTCACTTCAGCAGCTTGAATGAGTGAGTTGATGTAGATGACATGATGAGAACCAGGCACCACTTGCTGTGGGGGGGGGGGGGCACGGTGGAGAGAGATGTTTATGTTGCAGAACGAGGAGATGGATGAGTGGGAGGAACGAGGCATCGTGGGAAGGATCAAAGAGTTTGCGATGATTCATCAGCTGTCCCTTCTATAGATGACCACAAGGTGTCGCCCCTTAACTGTTTGAATCCTTTTAAAAAGTAGATTGTAAAAGATGCATAACAGTAAAACACAAAACTATGTTAAGTTAAATATGATTTTCAGTAAAAAAAATGTTTTTAACTTCATAAAACTAACAATTGTCTTTCTTGAAACAACATATATATACACACACAACACAATACACATTCAATTGTCTTTATTACACTACAGTTTTAACATTAAAAGTTCAAGAAAACAAGCGGTGTAAGTTTATATAGTTTTATAAGGAAAAATAACTGATAAGTCCGACTGCTCCGCTGACCCATTTAGGGGAACGTCGATAACTCCTGACTTGACTACTTTTCCTGGCACACAAATACTTAAGTACTGTACTGTATAACAATGCAGTTAAACAGGAAGTTTAGGCAACGCCCTTCAGATTAAAGCAAAACGTTTTGATGTTTTGAAAAACAAAAAACATACGTGTGTGTTTCATGAAGTGAATTTAATCAAGCTATAACGACGACTTCGTAAAACAGGGCATTTAAGAAGATCGCTCATGTTTTAGAGCAAAACTTACCTTCGCCAACCGTGTAACCGGAAGTGGTTGTTGAAGCTAGCTAGCTTGACACTAGGTCAGCGTTAAAGGGCAACGACACCACGTAATTTACTGCGGATAATCTCGCACGGCGCTCTGGTATTTGGATAAGGCTATGCTACAAGGCTATGCTACAAGGCTAAGCTATGGCGCGCCTTTAGCAAAGCAAGCCGTGTGCTTTGGGAACAGTCGCTGTTTGGCTTGGCGGTGTGGAGACGGCGGAATGGCGCAGGGCATCGCACGGAGTTTACATTAAGCGAACTGCTGTCACCGCGGCGGCGGCGGCAAAATCCGAGTCACGAGACTCCTTCGTCCCGGCTCCTCCGCTCCAGGTACACGCACACCCGTTATCCCCTTTTCTTATCCGTAAAAAAACAACTACGCGTCATCGTGAGTGTGTTTGCCGCTCGGCCCGGTGGCGTTTTGGTCGCCAAACATCAACTAAAGGCGGCGTGTCTGCGCGCGAGAGCTTCCGTTTGCCGCCCCGGCGGAGCGGAGACGGTGACGAAAACAAGCCCACTTCCCTCTGACCGGAGCTGTGCTGTCGTTACTGGCTGTAGTCGGCCGGGGGAGGAGGGGGCGGTGATGGGAACAGCTGTGTGTGTAGCGGTTTCTCAACAGCCCGGGGGGGGGGGGGGCTGGTTTGTGAAGCGGCTTTAGCGGGACTTTGAGGAGTTTTACTCGCGACAATGTTTCGCTTCCTGGCGGGTTTGTATCGGAAATACGCAGCCGACGGCGACAGAGGTAACGCCGACCTTCGTGTCGCTGTTCGGGGGGTCAGGGGGTAAGGGGTCAACGTCCCATGTGCTGCCCGCTAACGCCGCCTCTCTCCTCGGTAAACAGTGTGTGCAGGGATGGAAAACCCCGGTTACCGGAGCGGGAGCGTGGACAGCCTGCGTCACCGGCCGAGCGACGTGGTCGTCGAAGACGACGACGACGACGACGAGATGGTGGACATCGCGGGGGCCACGCTGGACTTCTCCAACACGGACGACGACCCCCCTCTGGGCTCAGGGGAGTGCAGAGTCCAGCTGCCCCCCCCCCCCCCGTTTGAATTGGTGTTAACTTGCCGGTACTTTCTTCTTATAGATCACAGAACTTTATTCGAAGCTGCACTTGTGTTGTGTTGTGCTTTGTGGCCTTCACGGTCACATGCTTTCAGTGAGTCATGGTCATACATAATGCGTTACTAAGTGTAGACACACACACACAGACACACACTGTTCCCATCAGAACAAACTGCCAAAGCAGTGCGTGAAATAGTGCTGTCTGTTCTGTTTCCCGTCCCTGGGCTGCCTGGTTACTCGTGACATCACCTCCGTCATGGACTTCCCCTTCACTTGCGTTGTTACAAGTAAGAGTTTAATCTCACATCGCTGATGTCATCGTGACCTCCATAAGGATTCAGTGTGGTGGAGGCTTCTTGGGGCCGAGATCAGCGTTTTGGTGTCCATCAGGTTTAGTTTAGGGGGTTGTTGTTGCTGACTCATCAATGATGATGATGATGATGCAGGTTTTTTTCTGACTGTTTGTGGCTTTTGGAGACCTTTTAACGTTGTGCTCCTCATGCAGTAAAAACCCCTCCAGTGGACCTGAAAGACGGGATCATTTGTGAAGATTATATTGCTGAGCGAAGCATTTAAAAACTAGAAGTTTGTGTTCGGTACAAAGCTTATTTTGCAATTCTAACTTCCTTTAAAACGTTGTCACAGTCTCCTGGCGGGGATCCAGGCAGTTTTTGGCAGATGCCGGCTTGGAGAACAGCAAGTTCTTCCAGGAATCCACTGAGCACACACGACATGTTGGCTCAGCCACGCGCTCTAAACGGAGAGGCATCTTCATCGAGTGTCCCCGACTTCGTCTCAACCGGAACACAACCCGCGATGAGGGCTGATGCTGCGGTCTGGTCTCAAACATCTGGGGTCGTGCTAGCCAGCGCCATGGCGACGCCGCTCTCCCAGCTCAGTGGAGCGGTAGCGTGGGGCGGGGCTTAGCCCTGTCAAAAATAATGGCAACGGGATGTTTTACATGTCGCATGTCAGTGAATAAGCTCCAGCGCGTTGACGCACAAGCGCAACAGCAGTGATTCAAAAGAACTCTGAGACGTTGCTGAAATGCAAACGCGTGGTGAGCCTCAAAGGAGAGACGAGATGTTATAATAGACGATTGTGACGTCTCAAAGCTTCATGGAGAGAAAAAGGTGCTCGTCCAGTGTTTGAGGAGAAACAGGGAATGAAGTCAAACTGTTTCCAATGACTTTAGCAGAGAAACGCCAGCAGAATACATTTAGTGCTGAATGTTTCTTGCTTACTTTGCGCTCTTTTTCTTTCTGACATCCAGGTCTTTAACTCGTTCAACCTCTTCCTGTGGTCTCGTGGTGTTTGCTGTACATGTGCTTATTATCATTATTATTATTGCTGCTTTATAGAGCTGCAGCGGTGACCCCTGACCCCTCGCCACGTAATGATTGACAGGGAAAGAGTCACAGCTTTGGCTGCGCTCTGTGATTGTGTGGAGCTTTAAAGAAAAAGATGTCTTGTATAACTCAGAACCTAATTGTGATCGGCTGGTTTCAGCTCCAGATTGACCGTAATGAATACGGCGTGAACAGTGATGTAATACGTGAGCTGGTATCTGCTGAACTCCTGTTGATCCAAAACCATCAGTTCACTACAGTTCTGGGCGAGGAACTGCTTCATGAAGCAGCAGCTCCAGCGGTCGGCGGCGCCAGATTTCAGGACTCGACACCACCTGCTGTCCGATCCTGCACAGCGCTGCGGCTCGACGCCCGGCCGGGAGGCGGAGCTCTGAACACGCGTGTGGGCGCTGTGGTTCAGTGAAAGGAAATCCAGACGTGACAGAATTCTTGAGAAGTGCCTCCTGTTTGCGCTTCTGTCAAGTCCTCTCTTCGGTTTCCCTTCAGGGCGCTTGCATCACCTCCTCATATTTTATGGTTCTGTGGGACGTTTTAAAACGTCTTTATCATCCAGACGGTAAAATGAATCTAATCAGTCGGAGACGGAGCCTCTTTCGTTTATTCAATTTCCTCTGAGCCAAGAAATGTGATTTAAAGACTTGGTGGTGGAACCTCCAACTGACCCCAACGTTAACGCGCAGCAGAGGTGCGTCTGTGTAGTGGAGCGAGCGCCACGGGGGTCACATGAGGGGTCGATCCCCATGGCAACCCGACGACAGCAGTTCAAGGTTCAGATCCACATTGGAGACTGTGTGTGTGTGTGTGTGTGTGTGTGTGTGTGTGTGTGTGTGTCAGCCTTCTCTTTATATACGCACAAGTCCTGTGTAGTCGTGGCCGGCGGCGCTGAGGTCATGTGACGAAGAAGCAGCTTTCCCAAGAGTTTCCCATTCGCCATTAAAGGTGTTTATATTGTCTGAAAATGTCTGTGTCGTCCTCTCAGGACAGGAGTCTCTAAATGGACCATAATTCACTAAATTAACATCATGTTGTGTAGAAGAAGACTTGAAACTAGAGACTAAGACATAAACGCATGTTTACAATGTTCACTGAGGGAATAAATCCAGAGAGAAGTAGTCATTTCCTCATAGACGTCTATGGGAGCAGAGGAGTCGCCCCCTGCTGGTCACTACAGAGAAGTAGAGTCATTTCCTCATAGACGTCTATGGGAGCAGAGGAGTCGCCCCCTGCTGGTCACTACAGAGAAGTAGAGTCATTTCCTCATAGACGTCTATGGGAGCAGAGGAGTCGCCCCCTGCTGGTCACTACAGAGAAGTAGTCATTTCCTCATAGACGTCTATGGGAGCAGAGGAGTCGCCCCCTGCTGGTCACTGCACAGAATGCAGCTTTGCATGTGTCCTTGTAACATCTCACTACGAAGTCATCCCCCCCCCCCCCTCCCAAAAAAAACAAGGCGTCAGACAGAAGACCGTGTGTGAATGAACGCAGCCTCCAGTGTTTGTAAGAGCAAAAACCACAACCACATTCTATCTAATTTAAATAGAGTGTGCGTGCCTCACGGAGGTCACACTGCGGCCTTTGGTGTGCGAGGAGGTTCATTAACACACAGGTCATGGGGGGTTAGGATCAGTTTAAAGGTACTCTGCAGGTTCCGAGGCCTGTAGGTCTAACTTAATGCAGCTTGAAATGCTGCTCAAGGGACTAGTTTTGTGTTCCTCTCATCCAGATATCGTAACAAAACGTGCTTCGCGGTTGTTCTATTCGCTGCAAGCCTGAGATGAGCTTTTAATGTAACAAATATCACGACATCCCCAGAAGCCTTTATATTACTCACTGGACTCCACTGAGGGGTCACGACCTTCCAAACACAAGTGACCTTCACTCTGCATGGGGGTGGAACCACCAGCCAATCGGGGACGAGCTCACAGCCCCTCCGCACCTATAAGAGAAGAGCAGCCGCTCCTGCTGATGAGCCAATCAGGGCTCACTGCTGGGGAGAGACGAGGTTCTCCACCTCGTACGCTCCACTCGAGTTTGCCGGGAGAGCGGCGAGATGGACTGGGAGGTCTGGAGCAGGGAGCTGAGCGACGAGGTTCTGGTGGAGGGCGGTGAGTTGTGATAAAGTGTGTGTGTGTGTGTGTGTGTGTGTTTGTGTGCACACGCAGGGCGAGTCCGAGATGCCGGCCGTGATAAGGAATAACAAGTTGTGTCTTTAGCTTCTTCTGCACGTGTCGCTGATTCCTTTCAGTGGGGATTTAAACGCGTTTCTCCTGCTGACGCCTGAAACGCTGAACCAGTGAGACCATTAGACGCCATTAGACCCTGAGTGAGTGAGTGAGTGTGTGTGTGTGTGTGTGCGCGCGCTCTCATGGGCCGCTGAGGACAAACTCTCATCCGCCCCACTTGTTCCTCTCGTCTGTCCGGCCCGTCCTGGACGCCGTCGTCTTGTTGGGGTTTTATGTTTCACCTTCTTTGTTGTGTTGCCGCTGTCACGATGGGGGTCAAAGGTCGCTCATGGCTGTTGTGATTTTAGTGGGACGCGATCCACCCGAAAACAACACAATGAGTTGAGTTACAGTAACTTAATTACAGCTGCTTAGTTAATGTTGAACGCCAAACTGCAAAATCACGTTTAACAGTTTTATTGTCACGGTGGTATAAATATAAATATAAATCTTTTTTCACTATAAAATGTGTAACACGTATGAACAATATATTTTTTCGAATGGACTTTAAATGAAATGTCTGCAGCTGAAGCACCGAGGTGACGGGATCCTCTAGAAACGTGTAACCCATTTGAAAAAGGCCCTCAGCCCGTCCTGTACGGGGTCACGGGGTCGTCGGCCGTGATCCCAGCATGCACCTGGCAGCGAGGCTAATTGGTTTAGCCCCCCCCCCCCCCCTGAGAGACGTGGGTTGTTTAAAGTGTCACTACCATCAGCTGACTCCTGCGACCTTGTAGCTGAGGCAGGAACCCGTCTCAGCGTCTCACCTTCTTGGAGACAACTGCTCAGTGGAATGAGGGGGACCAGCAGTGTCTGTCCTCTTCAATCAAAGGTGCCTGTGTTTAAAGATCGGGCCGCATTCCAGACAGGTGGATGCAGGTGGATGCAGGTGACGGTGTCTTGTTCCGTTCTGCCTCAGCGAGTGAGAGACAGACATTCTCTGAGCTAAATTCAAACCAGTCCAACCCGTCCGCTGGGCGCCGCTCGCTGCTGCTGGGCAGCCTGTGTCCTCCACCATTAGAAATGTGGTGTTGGTGGAGCAATAGATTTCTTTCTGCTTTCACCCTCCTCGGTGGGTTCAAGTGCTTCGCTGCTGCGTCTCATATTACTGCTTTAGTGTCTCCACACAGTGGGGACGCTCCGTCTCCTGCGTCGCTCGGTGTTGATAGAAATACACAAACCAGAACACTTTTTCCTCTGCGGCTCGTCCGGTGTTTCCACATTCCGGGCCGTGTTGATTTTTTTTCGCAGTCTTTGTCTATTTGTTGCCGTCTGTCCCTGAGACGCATTGAAAGCTTTGCGTGTCACTTGTTAACAGCGTGTCGTCTCTGAACGCTCACGTTCTCCGCTGCTCCTTTGTGCCCTTTTCTTTTCTCAATAGTCAGCAGAGTGAAAGTTCCCATTTCTCCAAATGTTTAACCTCCGTCCCCCTCCGTCCCCCCGTCCGCTGCGACTGCGCACATTGTAGAATTTGTCTACTCCAACACCGCCGGATGTCTTCTCTCTGCACTCTGTACTATAAAACAGAATCAATGTCCCCCCCCAGCAGATTTCGTGGAGCGCGGCAGCAGAGCCGGCAGTATGAGCGGTGCCGGGCCGGGCAGGCTGGTGGACCCGCTGGAGGACCCGCTGCCCGGAGTGGGGACATACGAGGACCTTCAACACCATCGACTGGGTGAGGGAGAAGAGCAAGGACCGCGACCGGCACCGAGAGGTACGGAGAACGGGACACCCCCCCCCCCCCCCCTCCTCCCACCGCCGCCACAGACTCACTTCCTGCTTAATTGATTTAAACCGGCCCGATTCTACAGAAGTAGGAATCGTTTCTGTCCCCCTGTGTGAGACTCATGACTTCTGGTCTGGCGAATAGAACGAATGACCGCCATTGATCTCCGTCTCCACGCAGATCGCCAACAAGAGCCGACAGTCCACGGTGGCCCTGCTGCACAGCGTCAGCGACGCCTTCTCCGGATGGCTGCTCATGCTGCTCGTGGGCCTCATGTCAGGTGTGGACGTTTTTTTTTTTTTTTTTAAAGCTTTTATTTTCTCAAACTGACTCGTTTCAGGCGTGGAGATGCACTATAACGTCCTCCTCCTGCAGGCGCTCTCGCCGGCGGCATCGACATCGCCGCCCACTGGCTGACGGACATGAAGGAGGGGCTCTGCCTGGTGGGCTTCTGGTTCAACCACGAGCACTGCTGCTGGACGTCCAACGAGACGACGTTCCAGGAGAGGGACCGCTGCCCCCAGTGGCAGAGCTGGGCCGAGATCATGACGGGGACCTCGGAGGTACTTTGGCTCCGCGGCGCTTTGGTTCCATCTAGTGGTCGCGAGGTCGCGCCGCTCGCCGCTTCTTCCCCAAATCCAAGCGTCCGCTGACGGCGTTTAAGAGGTGGTTCTGTGTCCCTGCAGGGGGCGCTGGCCTACTTTGTGAACTACCTGATGTTCCTGGTGTGGGCTCTGCTCTTCGCTCTGCTGGCCGTGACGCTGGTCAGGGCCTTCGCTCCGTACGCGTGCGGATCAGGGATACCGGAGGTGAGACGCTCCTGGATCCTCGGTGGTTTGAGTCCTTTGAATAAACGGCAACATGCTTTTCAACAACAATGTTGCTCCGACTCAGTGGAGCGCAGTTCATGAAGAGAGCGTTTTTCCCTTTTACGGTCAAACTGATGTGAAGGATAAATGAGGTTTGTTAATCCATCCATCAAGTTATTATTTAAACTGCTCCGTGAAAACAAATAAAATGTAATTGAAAAGGCTTCACAAAGAAAACAAGGAGAAAACGAAGCGACTAATGCACCGCAATTGAAGTTTAGAGCATAACAAATGAATTAGTCATTGTAAAATCTAATTCTAGCAGCAGAGTATAAACACTTGATCACGCTAGATTAAAGCCAGACTGCTCTACATACACAAAGTCTGTTTCCCGCCGCCGCCCCCCCCCCCCCTCAGATTAAAACCATCCTCAGCGGCTTCATCATCCGCGGCTACCTGGGGAAGTGGACCCTGATCATCAAGACCATCACCCTGGTCCTGGCCGTGTCCTCGGGGCTCAGCCTGGGGAAGGAGGGCCCGCTGGTGCACGTGGCGTGCTGCTGCGCCAACATCCTGTGTCACCTGTTCACCAAGTACCGCAAGAACGAGGCCAAGCGGCGAGAGGTAGGCGTCCCTCATCAAAAAGGTATTTGTTGCCCGCCGGGGGGGGGTCCAATCCACCGACGACCCGAATCCGCAGAAATCTGGCTCCTGGGGGGCGATTCTCTCTTATAGGCCTTGAGGCTCAAATCACGTGGATTTTGCTCGCAGGTGTTGTCCGCGGCGGCGGCGGTGGGCGTGTCCGTGGCGTTCGGCGCTCCCATTGGTGGAGTCCTCTTCAGCCTGGAGGAGGTGAGTGGTTCTACCGGATGAACAGTTAAAACACTGAAACCAGGCTTCCCAACACTGACGCTGCCTCTGCGCGACCCCCAGGTGAGTTATTACTTCCCCCTGAAGACGCTGTGGCGCTCGTTCTTCGCCGCCCTGGTGGCGGCCTTCACCCTGCGCTCCATCAACCCGTTCGGGAACAGCCGCCTGGTGCTGTTCTACGTGGAGTTCCACGCCCCGTGGCACCTGGTGGAGCTGGGCCCCTTCATCCTGCTGGGCATCTTCGGCGGCCTCTGGGGGGCGCTGTTCATCAGGGCCAACATCGCCTGGTGTCGGATACGTGAGTCTGCCGCCACGTTCTACTCGGAATGCGGCAACGTTTTCTCCTCCATTCATCAGTTTCCCTCGTGTCTTTTAAAAAAAAAAAAAAAAAAAGGTAAATCCACCCGTCTGGGTCACTACCCCGTCACGGAGGTGCTGGTGGTGACGGCTCTGACCGGCATGCTCGCCTACCCCAACAGCTACACCCGGATGGGCGGCGCCGAGCTCATCTCCGAGCTCTTCAACGACTGCTCGCTGCTCGACTCCTCGCAGCTCTGCGGCTACAAGCAGGTCGGCGGCGCTGCATTAATGGGGGGCGGGGTGAGCGAGGTCACGTGTGTCCCTTTTTTTTTTTTTCCTCTCTGACCTTTCACCTTTTTTCTTTTGCGTCTCTCCGTCACAGTCGAACTCCACCTCGGGCGCGGGCGTGGGCAACGGCCTGGCGGACCGGCCGGCGGGGGTCGGCCTGTACGCCGCCCTGTGGCAGCTCGCCCTGGCTTTGGTCTTCAAGATGATGATCACCGTGATCACGTTCGGCATGAAGGTCCCCTCCGGCCTCTTCATCCCCAGCATGGCGGTGGGCGCCATCGCCGGCAGGCTGCTGGGCGTCGGCATGGAGCAGCTGGCCTACTACAACCACGACTCGGCCATCTTCAGAGGGTGGTGCTCGCCGGGCGCCGACTGCATCACCCCGGGGCTCTACGCCATGGTCGGCGCCGCCGCCTGCTTAGGTGAGACCACCTGACCTGAGCCCATTTTATTAACGGTATTCGAGGCGCTACAATGTTTCTCTGTGTGTCATCACGCGGTTTTGATTACCCCCCCCCCCTCTTTTAGGTGGAGTGACTCGCATGACGGTGTCGCTGGTGGTCATCATGTTCGAGCTGACCGGCGGCCTCGAGTACATCGTCCCGCTCATGGCCGCCACGATGACCAGCAAGTGGGTGGCGGACGCGTTCGGGAGGGAGGGAATCTACGAGGTGAGGCGTGAAACCGTAAACTAATGTTGCTGCACGCTGCCCCCCCCCTACCCCCCCGCCTCCCCCTCTCCGGGTTCCTTTCAGCTAATAACTTCCACATTTGTGTGGTGGGCTTTAGAGTTGGGGAGTCAAGGTTCACATATTTTTCCCCTCATCTGTTGCGTAGCGTTGCAGATATCAGCCGTCTGGTTTCTCTCCGTTCTAATGGGACTACATGGCGCTCCGACAACACACACAAATTGCGACCCCGCTTACTGAAAACAACGCACACATTATTCTGCGGGTTGAGAGCCGATCGTCCCCACATGGAACTGGTCGCAGGGTGGATATTTACACTGTTCCCTCCCCGGCGTCTCGCAGGCCCACATCCGTCTGAACGGGTATCCCTTCCTGGAGCCCAAAGAGGAGTTCCAGCACAGCAGCCTGACGGCGGACGTGATGAGGCCCCGCCGGTCGGACCCGCCGCTGGCCGTGCTCACGCAGGAGGGCATGACGGTCGAGGAGGTGGAGGTAAACGGGGCGGGCCTTAGCGCGCGCCGCGGAGGAGATGGCGGCGGTGTGCAGGGCGGCGTGTGACCTCTGGGGTGTTCTCTGTGTTCAGGCTCTGGTGGAAAGCACCCACTACAGCGGCTTCCCCGTGGTCGTGTCCCAGGACTCCCACAGGCTGGTGGGCTTTGTGCTCCGGAGAGACCTGCTCATATCAATAGGTCAGGAACACGCGTGATGGAGACTGATGCGTGTTGGAGACTGATGCGTGTTGGAGACTGATGCGTGTTGGAGACTGATGCGTGTTGGAGACTGATGCGTGTTGGAGACTGATGCGTGTTGGAGACTGATGCGTGTTGGAGAATGATGCGTGTTGGAGAATGATGCGTGACGGAGACTGATGCGTGACGGAGACTGATGCGTGACGGAGACTGATGCGTGACGGAGACTGATGCGTGACGGAGACTGATGCGTGACGGAGACACATGCGTGACGGAGACTGATGCGTGACGGAGACTGATGCGTGACGGAGACTGCTGCGTGACGGAGACTGCTGCGTGGCGGAGACTGATGCGTGGCGGAGACTGATGCGTGGCGGAGACTGATGCGTGGCGGAGACTGATGCGTGGCGGAGACTGATGCGTGACGGAGACACATGCGTGACGGAGACTGATGCGTGACGGAGACACATGCGTGACGGAGACTGATGCGTGACGGAGACTGATGCGTGACGGAGACTGATGCGTGACGGAGACTGATGCGTGACGGAGACTGATGCGTGACGGAGACTGATGCGTGACGGAGACTGATGCGTGACGGAGACTGATGCGTGACGGAGACTGATGCGTGACTGCTGCGTGACGGAGACATGCGTGACTGATGCGTGACGGAGACTGATGCGTGACGGAGACTGACGGTCTTTATTTACCCAGTTAAACTTCATGTGACTGTCGTCGTGACGACCTCCTGTCCTTCCAGACAACGCCCGGAAGCGCCAGGAGGGCGTGGTCGGTGCGTCCCAGGTGGTGTTCACCGAGCACTCCCCCGCCCCCGCCGACGACGCCCCGCCGCCCCTCCGCCTCCGGGGCATCGTGGACCTGAGCCCCTTCACCGTCACGGACCACACGCCCATGGACATCACCGTGGACATCTTCAGGAAGCTGGGGCTCCGCCAGTGCCTGGTGACGCACAACGGGTGAGTGCTCCGCTGGCGAACACCACTCGCCGTCGGGCACGCGTGGATCTCCGCAGGGGACCTGGAGGCGGAGCCGGGTCCTTTGGTTCAAACCAAATAAAAGTGCAGATTGGCTTCAGCCGAGTGGATCCACGCGTGGCCGCGCAAACACGTTGTCTTTAGTTTAGTTCTTTAGTTTAGTCTTGTCGCGCTGCGTTGTGTCCCGTCGCCCCCGCAGGCCGCCGTGAAACCAGACCTCCACTCTGCTCCGTCACCTCCTTGACGAATGAAGCAATAATGGTTTCCATGACTCGTGCTCTCATGTGTGTGTCTCCAGGAAGCTGCTGGGAATCATCACTAAGAAAGACATCCTCAAGCACATGGCGAATGATTGCCAACAGAGACCCCGACTCCATCCTCTTCAACTGAAGCCCCTCCCTCTCCGCCATCCGTCCGTCGCTCCTCTCAGGTGGGAGGAGGAGGAGGAGGAGGAGGAGGAGGAGGAAAACACCAGCTGGCACACTTGAACCAAATGCACATTTTTACCTCCTATGAGAAAAAGAAAAGCCAAGTAAGTCGACTCCGTTTGCAGCGGCGACCAGAGGACAACGGCTCTGATTCTTCTTCTTTATTTTTGGGCCTTCTGGTTCTTCCTCACCGGCGCTGGTTCTCTCCACGAGGATGTCGGACAGATCAGTCGAAAGTTCACATCTACTCCTTTTTTTTTGGGAGGGGCTTTTCCTCATTCCTTCTCTTTCCCTCTTTTCAAAGAGGAATGCAGAGGGAGGGATGTTTGAAGGGGGGGTTGATCCTCTGTCACAGAGGACCAGAGATGAAGCTGGGAGGGTTTTGGGGTTTTTGGGAGCTCCGTGCCGCCGCCCCCCCCCCCCCCACCCCCCCGGGCGGCGCTGGGAGTCCCGACAGCGCTGCGAGAGGGCCCGATGGGGGCTCGGAGCCCCCTCCCGGGAACAATGAAGCATTAAAGGTGGGAGGACACGATCTGATACACACCTCACACCTCCTGAAGACCTCCCGACTCCACAAATGTCCGCTTCTTTTTTTTGGGGACCTGAAATGTGGAAGAGACCAATTCATATAAATGTGAAACTGTTTGTCCCACTAAATTATTCCACTGACTTAAATGTGTCTAGTTATTTGTTTGCTGTTGATCCGAACCTTGTCATTTGTTTACTTAAGCTCCGTCATTGAATGTTATTTTTGGTAATTAAGAGATTTCACTATTTCAAATTCCTTTTTTTTTTTTTTTACAAACCTTAATAAATAACGCTTGTTGCCGGAATTCAGCACCGAACATTTCAGAATAAATTCTGAGTCTTTTGTAAACACGGCTCGTGTCCTCGTGTCCCTTCACTCTTATTATTGCGCATTGAGGCACAAACATGAAACCTGAGTGGTGACTGATGTGATTCAACGCCGCCTCGTTGGGTCGATGGCTGCATGCAGGCAAGTGGAGACGGGTCATGTGACTAAAGAACCTCAGGCTGTTATTCGGAGCTTCATGTCGACTACGCGGGTTCGTCCCGTCGGGGGTCAACGGATGGTTTGACTGCTTTTATGGCTCCTGTCGGCCGCTGCGTTACGCAATGCCACTGTGCATGCTGGGGGGGGGGGGGCATGTTTATACTGCGGACCCTCGGGGGGGGGGGGTTATGCTGTCACTCCCGACGTTCGCCGTCTCAGGCAGCGCGTCGTACCTCATTTTGGGGACATGATCGGTGTGTGTGGGGGGTTCATGACTCAGTGTTTTCTCCGGGCTTCACATGGGGCTGGAGTTTCCGTCCCCCCCCCCCCACACACCTTAATCCATTTCCTGTCTACCCTACGGTGGGTTCCTTGTTCCTTGTTCCTTGTGTAATCAGTCGCCTTACCGCATTTTGCTTCCTCCCTCGTTACACTTTCCCAGGCCGCCGTTGTCTCGGTGCACATTACAAAGCCGAGAAGAGAGAAACCACCCTGCTGCGGTACGGAGATAAATTCCAGGTGTCTCCTTACCTGTGCTCTCGACCTGCGTGCACGCTAAAAGATGACGTTTGCTCGAGGGGGGGGGTTGGTTTAAAACGCCATGCGTGTGTGTGTTTGCGTGCAACCGGATCTGCGCGCCGGCCCCCTTTTGCCTCGGCCGGCCCTCGGGTCACAGACGTGGAGGTTCCCACCGCTCACCCGACACCGAGGCCTCGCCCCCCACGGCCCGCAGGTGAGCGACCTGCGGCCAAAAGAAACGGAACCACGGCGAAAAACCGTAAACGGGAACCGACGTTGTTTCCAATGAGGCCTTTCGGACCGCCGATCCCCCCCCAGTGGGCCCAGAACCACAGCCGTAACCAAATAGCTTGAAACACCCCCCTTCTGAACTCTGGGTTTTTGGGGCGCCGACAGACTATTTACGCCCTCCTGGGTACCTGTCGGTCCGGTTCACTGGGAACGTAGCGCCGGCGAGGCGTTCACCTTTAACCCCTGGCGCTGCTGCCATAAACGAGCTGCTCTCAATTAGCTGCTCTTTTCTTTCTTTGCCTCCTCTGGTAGTTAATCAAATGAAACAACCACAGAAAGGAGGGTGAGGGGGCGAGAGGTCGGGGGGGGGAGACGTCATTCCTGGCAGCTTTCTGACACACGTCCTTAGATGAGCGGACTGGGACGCGCGGCCGATCAAACTCAAGAGGTTAAAGAGGTGATGAGGGCGTGTTTTCAATCCGGAGCGAAGCGGGAAATGAAAACGCGTCTACGGTGCCAAGACGCTCTGGAAGTAATCTAGAATACGCGCCGCTGCCACATGCATTCATCTCCACCCGCCCCCCCCCAACCGCGGTAACGTCACAAATTGGGCTCCCGGGTTCCCGGCGGCTCGGACGGAACCGTTCCTCGGGTTTGCCGACCCTCGCTGACCGCCAGCGATCCGCCGGCGCCATGTTGGAATTTCCCTCGGAGGACTCTGGAAACTGGCCCGAGGTCGACTGCTGTGGCCCCCGCCGACCTACAAGCTGACACACACACACACACACACACACACACACACACACACACACACACACACACACACACACACACACACACACACACACACACTTCACAAAGGCTTAATCATTCTCAGCCGAACCCACTCAAAGTGTTATTTGTTTAATGTGTTATTTCCTTATAGATGTTTCTTCGTATCTTTTAGCGACTCCTTTCTTCTTGTTCTTTTCTATATTTGGTTTTTAGTAATATTCAACTTAATATCTGGGTACATTCCATATAAAAAGCAATAAATAAAGTCAACTGAATAGCTAAAGTTCTATGATTTACATTTTGTGATTTTATTTAATCGTCATTTAAATTTGTAAATAAAAATCCTCAACGCAGCATGAAAGGTGGAAACATTACGAGTCACAAACTTCACTCGCACGTCTAACAGCATGTGTTGCTTCGGGATATTTAATATAAAAGAGGTGGGAGTTTAAGTAAATGTTCTTGTTGCAGTAAAGGCGATAGCAGAGAATCCTCTCTGACATTTAAGGTTAAATTCAATAAGTTACATTTGGTTTAATTATGGGTTTTGTGAATGTGTAATTTATTTGGAAAAAGTGAAAACCTAACCCTATAAAACATATTTTTTTCATATCTACTTACATTATATATACTACTGTAAAATATTTAATTAAAGATAAGGAAATTGAAAATGAAAAAACTACATTTAATATTTATTATACACATTCAAAGCACTTTGTGAAAGGCAGATTGTTACCGTGGTAACATGGAAAGTAAATCTGTAAAACTGTTTTTATTAATGCTGCCTGCAAGTCGCTTGTATTCCCCAAACTCTGGTAAAATGTTCCGACCCGAACATCTTAAACGCTCCTCACGACTGGGTGGTGACTGCAGATGTTTTTAGCTCTGCTGAATGACAGGAACGCGTCCCGTCAGCGGCTCGGCGGGAACTTCAGTCGCACGACTCACATTTTTCTGTGCGTTACATATTTTACATACTTTCATATACACGGCCTCCAGAACGCAGCCGGTCGAGTTTATTTTCATGTTTTTAGGGTTCTTCTTCTCAGCAGGGCGCGTTTCTGACCTTTATTCGAGCTAAAGTAGCTCGATTCTATTAGCGGAGCCGAATAGATTTCTTTCCTTCTCTTTCCCAGCATGCATCTCTGTGCTGCTTCAACAACCTTATCGACAACGGATCACGTCATTGTTCCTGTGAGGTATTCGGATTCTACGACTCCCGTTTCCAACGGCCGGCAGCTTTAAACAGAAGTATTGTTCTCTAAAAAGAGTGTGTGTGTGTGTGTGTGTGTGTGTGTGTGTGTGTGTGTGTGTGTGTGTGTGTGTGTGTGTCAGGTTGAGCGCCCGTCTGGCCCCACTTAGTCTCTTCAGGATGTTTTGGGATTTTCTGTATATATGTGTGTGTGTGTGTGTGTGTGTGTGTGTGCGCTTTGCAGCGTTATGAAGCTAATTTCCTGGCTGGCTCTTATGAAAACAGAGGGAATGTTGGGTAATAAATACAGGAGACCTGAAGGGAACGGCAGCACTGTTGATATGAAGGTGTGTGTGTGTGTGTGTGTGTGTGTGTGTGTGTGTGCGCTGTATGAGGAGAATGCTGATGTTCAGATAACCACCTTCATGTAGGAGGTGTGTGTGTGTGTGTGTGTGTGTGTGTGTGTGTGTCAGGAAGGGAGGCAAACAGGTCCTTTTGTTAACACTCGTATGAAAACGGGCCGAGATGGCAGATAAAGTGCTGCTGTGACCCGCGGCCTCCGCCGCTCACACACGATAATGATCACCGTGTTAAAACACGCCGAACCCGCAAAGGAGTCGAGAAAGTTGCTGTTTTTTGCGTGTTCTCCTTCATGCACCCGGGGGGGCGTGAAGCAGGTCTCTTGGCCTGTGGGAGGAGGCCGGAGCTGCAGGGGGGGGGGGTCTGAACTCTCCAGCACCGTTATGCGTGTACCGTCAAATGGACATCGTTCCCTCTATCGTGCAACAAACGGGCCGAATCAGCTCGCTCTCCTCGCCCTGACTCATTGATCATGAAAGCTCCTCCCCCCCCCCCCACGTACGACATGTTGAGCAACATCTCCCTGGACGTCTTCATATCCGGGGCTTGCTCGCGTTTGTAGGAGAGGACATGAAAGCCTCCCGTCAGGTTGAATCAGTGTGAGGAGTCCCAGTGGCTCGTCCCCCCCGGCTCGTCCCCCCGTCTCCTCCCCCCGGCTCGTCCCCCCCCGTCTCATCCCCTGCCGGCGGTAATGATTCCTGCCTGGTCTTTGTGCTTTAACACTAAAACCAAAAACAAAATCAGTTCAGTGTCCAGTTTTTTGTTTTTGGACGTGTTGAAATATCATCAGGTCTTCTAAATTATTCAAGTAACAAAGACGATTAATTCAGGAAAAAATAATCAGCATTTCTTTATTATTCTTATAAGTAAACAAATGGCATAAAAAAATCATTATAAAAAGAATAAAAAAAGATCAAATCTTTAGAAGTGACTCATTTGCATTTAGGATGAATGTTACATTTTTTAATGTTTCAGCTGGTAAAAGGATTAAATCCAGAAACTACATCTGACCAATGGAACCATTAAATGGGTTGAGATGAACAAAGTCCCTTTATTATATATAAAGCATACTACTATCTGATGAACGTCCCACTATCTCATATATATCGCATCTCTTATCCACGTCTAATATCTAAGCCTAATAAACACGTAGCGGCTGTAAGTAAAGGGTTAAGCAGAAAACAAGCTGGTTTAAGAGCCTTTGTTTGGGATATTTATGGTGCGAAACCCCGACTGAACCTCTGGCAGCCGGTTCAAATGGAACAAAGACATTTTTGAAATTCACAACACATTTCAAAGACGTCATCTCCCGTCCAAAGACAAGGACCCGAACGGGCAGAATGTGTCCTAAGACGCTGTTTGTTTATTCACACAGCAGAGATACGGGAAACCAAACATTCCTCCCTTAATTTCAAGCTGAAATGAAAATGAGGGAATCTGCGAATGTGTGTCTGCGGATTATTATCAGGCAACGCCGCGGTCGGCTTGTGCCGACAAATTGCAGAGACGGCGTCCTCGCGCAGGCCTGCGATCGTCCCCCCCAAACACTGGACTTCCCAGGGGGACGGAGGCCGGGTTTGACCTTTTCAACCAGGCAAATTGAATGAAAGTAGCAGGTCAGGAGAACCACGCAGAGCCAAAGACGAGAGGTCACTATTGTCCCGCAGGCTACTCCACGTCAATATGGACCACGGAGCTCTTCAGTGGTACGAACCCGACTGCCGAGCTCAACGGTGCCGAGCTGTGGTCTCGTGCCGACCGCTAACCGTTAGCTTCAAATGTCAGAGCACGCGCACGCAAACACGTTTAACGCCGCTTCAATGGGCGGCTGCTCAGCTCATCTGGCTCTTAGTTGGCTAAGTAAGTTGTTTTTTTTGACTGTTGAGCGGCTACGATCTCCATGGCAACGTACAACGTTTTGTGTGGTGCTTCATGTGTGGTTACGCAGAGGAAAAGGTCGTGGGTTTGGCCGCTGAATTTGGTGTTTTGTGGAATTTCAATGGAACCGGAGACTTTAGTTTAGATGCGTCGACTCCAAACTCCAGGAGATAAAAAGTAAAACAGACGTTATAGTCTCAGAATTTAAGTGTAATTCAGCATTTTGATTCAGTTCTCTGTAGTGACCAGCAGGGGGCGACTCCTCTGCTCCCATAGACGTCTATGAGGAAATGACTCTACTTCTCTGTAGTGACCAGCAGGGGGCGACTCCTCTGCTCCCATAGACGTCTATGAGGAAATGACTCTACTTCTCTGTAGTGACCAGCAGGGGGCGACTCCTCTGCTCCCATAGACGTCTATGAGGAAATGACTCTACTTCTCTGTAGTGACCAGCAGGGGGCGACTCCTCTGCTCCCATAGACGTCTATGAGGAAATGACTCTACTTCTCTCTTGATTTATTTCCTCAGTAAACATTGTAAACATGAGTTTATGTCTCAGTCTCTAGTTTCAAGTCTTCTTCAACACAGCGTGATGTTCATTTAGTGACTTGAGGTCCAATACGGCGTTTCTGTGTCGATCATCAACCGCACGGCGATGGAGAAACCCCAGTTGGCTGGTTGGGATCTTTCCAGCTTGGCCATAAAAAGCTTCCACACCCACTGAAGCTCGAGGACAAAAAAACAAAAAGGTCACACTTTTGTTTTGGCGAGTGTCGGCTTTTAATTTACATGTCAGCCATCGTTGAGAGGATCTGGGATCACGCGGTTCCGATCACAAGAAGTCGGGGAGACGGAGACCAGCGAGCTGCAGATTAAAACCACTTCCACTCTCTGGACCTGGTTAACCGGAGCAGCGGGGCTCGTGTTCCTCACCAAGGATCTCCGCAGGAAATTCCAACCATCCAAACCAGTGGCAGCCGTGGGACGCTCGGTGGATCTGTTTTCCTTGCCGTGGCACGGCGAGGTCAAAGGTCAGGAGACTAGAAAGACTTCAGCCGAGCGGGAGCATCCGGGGCGAGCGTTTATCTCAGAGTCTGGGTTAAAATAAACACACTAATGCGTCCTAATCGTCTTTTAATCACTGAAAAAGCCTTTAGCTACAGGTTGTAATCCGTCACCTCACATTGAAGATGCTTCTTAATCCCACAAACGGCTCCGTTAGAACCAAACAAAAGGCCC